AGTTATTTTCTTATTTATGTTAATCATCTGACGATACACGCATAGCCGTTTATTAGTTTTCTGTGTTCACAAACACGCTTATTAAACTGTTTTCGTATTTCGCATCTCATTTATCTCCATTCCCTCATTTTCCTCCTTTCCTTCTTTAAAGTCAGCTCAGTATGCTTCTTAATCATACAGAACCTGACTTAGTTATTCTTTTATCATTATTATCGTTCTTCCTCTCTTTCAAATATGGCAAATATAATGCTAACATTACTGAAACTTGCGTATTATTGTGTTTCTGAAGAAACCCGAAATGGTTTTTTCACAAAACTTATGTACTCATAAGATGTCTGTGAATAATAATAATATGATTCGATTTTTCAGTGTCTCCTTACGAGGCACAAATATATATGATTGTGGCTACAAGTCAACGGTGGTGATAGGATATCTGACCACTCTATATAGAAGTAACTATGAAGTATATTTGGGCGTAATAAATGTTACAGGAAATTATTTAATGCAAATGTGGAACTCGCTTGGATTACTTCTGCTTCTACTTATTGAAGATTTGAAGTATAATTGTTCGGTGGCATGTAGATCGGAGAGAATCTGGATTAAATGCGTAGTACTAATGATCTAGTCTTTGGATTTTCATGGCACTGTAAATTGATTCGGTGTTTGCTCAGATATAAATCAAGTCAAATAAGTAGCATTGACTAAGCGAACGATTTAAACAAAATTTGAAATTGCAGAGAATTAATAGTCCAAAATCACCGTAAACTTCGGGTGTTTGTATCTGCTTTTTGACTATGGCACTCGGCAGACCGAACTTAGGCAGGCAATTGTCGAGTAAGATGGAAATTCTAGGGGAAAATTTCTAACGGAAAATAGGGTATACAATAAAAAAGCTGACAGATGAATTCATAATCAGTAGCTGACCGAGTCTTGTTTACATAATCTCCGGACGCATGTGCATCTGCGTTATTCGATTAGTATGTTTATGAGTGTTTGATATTTTGACAGACATATGGCTCCACTAGTGTCTGCGCAACACATTGTTATTACTGAAATATTTTAGTAAAAATAGGTACAAGAAATCAAGTACGACCACCACTACATTGGACAGTTCATGGTGTGCAATCCTTAGATGCTCACTGGTAGTCCCTGACTTTGGCGAAGCCCGGCAAACTGTCCAATATTCAGTGATCCGACTGCCAGATGACTTGGTAAGGGCCAAGTGACAATTCATTGGCTCCGCAATTCTCCTAAGGCCATCGTTTAATGAGCTATGCTCTGCGATCCCAACGTTCAGAAACACTGGTTAGCCAGTAACTTTGAATAATCTGTGTCACCAGCGGCAATCATGACTGGATTTAGGAGCAAGGAAAAGACTTCAAAAGATGGCTTCAAAACGTTTCATAAAACACTTTTACATATTGTATGCCTTATATGAATCTGTTATACATCTATACGGAGTTAGTTTATCCGATAATAATTTAATACTGAGTACATACTGAACAATATGACTAAAAATTATCTTTTATCACATACCTGTATAATTCTGAATCTGTTCAAATAATACTTGGCTAGAAGTACTCATTTTGTATATATAACCTGTTACAATATCAACCTAATGACATCACGCGGTATTTATCAGGAAGTCTTTTGCACAAAAATTCCTATACCCATGAACGTGAGATAAAATAATGTGCATCATTCAGTGGTTTTATTATCATATTATGCGATGAAGTCTGTTTAGTTAAGAAAGCAAATAAAATCCGACTAAATCGATTCCATAAATACCCACGTCGCGAATAATGATTTTACTTTGTATCATTCCACTTTTACGATGTAGGTGAAAATGGAATTGTTTTTCAGCGATGGGCGATCTCATCACTCGTTTCAGTAAAAAATTACGAGCAACATGAAATGCTAATAATAATTTATTCTCAAATATGTAGTTGACTACACAAAGAGCACGCACACTAACTTTTGCAGTTTTAGTAAAAACATGTTCTTAATAAGGTTCACATTGCTGATAACGTAATTTCTAGATACTGATGTACTTTTGTGCATTGACACTCAAGCGTATGTGCAAAGATGCATGTGGTTATCTGGAAGAGATAATGAGGAGGCACGTACGAGTTTTAGTGAAGAGGACGATCCAAGAAGCCAAAGTTCTTTTGCTTATGCTGAACTGTTATGACCTTGAATCGCTTTTACCTCGTCGATACTTTGTTATGACCTGACCTTGATTTGTCTAGTCTAGATTATGACCTTGGTGCAATAGGCTGAGACATTTGACCTTAAGTCCAGTACGCGTGAGTTCGAGATGGGGCGGAGAGAAAACTATTCTAGAACCTGATTGGCTGGCAAGCACGCAAGTGAGAGAAAACAAGACAGTTGGAACACTGAATCCTGAATTCGGATTAGTGCAAAAACGTACATGAATAAATAAGTGAGTATCCTGACCACAACGTACGATAATTTGGAAAAATACAATTATGTCCAAAACTAGGAATTAGGGTAGAAAATAAGGTGCAAAATATTATGTTTAAATTACAATAGTTTCGGAACAAAAAAGAGTATGGCAGTGAATGATACATCGAACGAAAGCTCATGTTTTGTAGAATAAAATAGGGGCAAAAATAAATGTAATTGTTTTACAAGGTTTGAATAAAATGAAATAACGTCCCAAGAAATAGCTTTCGTAGTTGATCTGGGCTTGTTATTTCCCTGTTCCCAACATGAACTATGTCTGTCTGCAAAGTATACGAAGCCTTTTCAAGTTACTCGTAACAAATGACATTAAAAGGTGACCTTTGAACCTTAGTTTGAGGGTTCTAATCCAAAAAACAAGAGCAAACAATATCAAAAATAGAAAATAACCCAACAATACGCAGCAAAACAAGTCGCCATACGGTAGATTATGAATAATTAGTGACCACCACGTACCTGATAAACAATTAGTTTACTCCTGACAGAATGGAATTTATCTTCAAGGATCAAAATAATCATTTTCGACAGGCAGTTAAAGTAGAACAATTATCAAAAGCTCCATACCACAACCTCGAGCTCACTAAAACATGACATTATTATCAATGGTCTTGAACTATAAAATAAAAAGTTCATAAACATAAATATAAACGAGCGTCAGGTGGTGAACTTCTAGTGAAAGAAGATTGTTCAATACAAAAGTGCTATACCGTAGAGAGCTTCAGTCACTGGAATATTTTCCTGTATGGACATAGCTTTAGCAGTTACGCACAGATCGAGTCGAATAATCAAGACACGATAACTCGGTAACCACACAGCACTGATCAAACCAAAAGTACGTGTAAAAGGTACGAATATGAAATATCTGAACAATTCCCAATAAGGTCTATATAGTCAATAGACACAAATATATATCAGTTCACATGCAAGCAGTGAACTATTTGACAATGATTATTTGGGAATTCAAGAATCATGGAGAAGTCCACGTGTCAGTCTGCCCAGAAGCTGAGTAATCAAAATCTTCAGTAACAGTACCTGTCTCTAAAAATTGGAAAACAAACAGCATGTCCCCCCTAAAAATATGATAAGGCATTTTAAAACGTTGAGAGAACCATAAACAAATCAATTCTTGAAGTGACAAGGTCTCCAAACGATGAGAGACAGGCTAAACTAATTTTAACCCCTGGTCATACAGAAGAACTAGAGGTAACTTGATCGCAATTTTCAAAATAACCCAATAATAACTTTACATCCATCATGCTATTATTTTTATTATCCTGTAAATCAGAGTATTAACATTAGAGATTTAAAAAGATTACTATTTCCAGTAAAAACTGGTCGTCTGCTGATCGCCGGTACTCCCATTTAATTCAAAATCAGTGAATATATTTCAGCAAGTTGTTGAAGCTCAATCTTTAACACCTTCAAAAGAAGGTTAGATAAGATAATAGACCTTAGGTAGTATTAAATAGTCACTTTAAATTATATTTAGTGACTATATCTCCATTCATGTGTTTACTGAAATAGATCTCAAGATTTCATCTTACTAACACCGGTACGTTTTGGTTAGGACCAAGTAATTTGGATTAGATATGAGGACAGTGAGATGAATCCATCTTACGTCAGGTTCCTGTGTCGCCTAAAACTTTCTCAATTTACTATTGACGATAGGATCATAAAGGAATGAAAGAAAAACCTTAAATGCTGGTATTAAAAACCATCTCAATGTAAGCTAAAAAAATTCACAACTCTTCCGTGCGGACGTCTTTTAAAATGCACACAACAGACCAAGTCCCAAACCATGGTTAGAATCGATTTTCACGTGTATAGATAACCAGAAATAAACTTTTAGTTGGAAGTAGGAGGAAATTGGGAGTAAAGAACAAATTACGAAAACAGACGTGTCAATACAAATGAAGTGAATTTTATGACTTGAAATTAGCTGATTATAATAACACTAGGTAAAACAAATCATAGTTATTATAACAGAATGTTTATAAATATATTCCTGTATACATCGATCAGGTTCACAGTACTTGACAAATCTTATGAGTGAAGAAGGATTCTGTTTTGCCTATCACGTTTCCTCTAACTCTTCGACATCACAAAGAAACAGCATAAGAACACGTGATGTGAGCTCTCTAACAGTATGTTATAACTACCGAATGTCAATTTTAACTAAGCTCTAAATACGAGTTGAGTATTTAGGCCTAATTTATTTGGCAATCTAAACTACATACCACTACAGTTACAGTCCTAGATCAGACGTTATAAAGAATTAATTCCTCAACACAATCCAGGACGTAGTTTGTGGATATAAAGTACTGGAATATATACATGTATGCAAGTTAAGATTAATTTGAGGGTTACACTTCATCCACCAGAATATAATCGTACTCTTGCATCTTCAGGTTTAGGGAACTAGTCACTAAATTCAGACACCTACAGTGCTAATCATAACAATTCATCATACCGTTTAAACTAAAAACCACATCTAAAGATAAAGCATTGCTATGATCATTTGAACCATCTGAACCATCTAAAACCATTTGAGGTTTGTCCGGAGCGGTTTTCGCACCTAGCGTTACGTACACTTTTTATTTGTAATATCAAATTCCAGTACAGTCTTATTTCACTGCTTCTAGATGATAATATGTCTACACGTAATCCATCTCCACCTCCAGATTATGACGGAAATGCCAAACAACTTGATATGATAGGTGACACAACTTACAGCAGACGTTGGCTTTTCTCGTTGTTAATTAAACTTCTGGAAAAGGTTAATAGTGAGACCTCTGCAACTTGGCTAAGTTCCGACGAAGATCCCTCTCGTAAGGAGTCAGAAACAGAACTGGAGGAACAGCTGTGCTGTCTGTGGGATCTAACTGTCAATCGTGATGTTCTGAAATTTCTCGACGAGTTTGAAATCGTCTCAATATTTAACAATGCTCTGGGGAGTGTCCAAAACCCCAGGTTACTGGTGAGATAGCACGTTTGTGCGAAAGCTTATTAGTAAAGGAAATTATAGTAGGAATTTTGGGAAATCTAGCTTATGATCCACTTGCCTGCCGTAAAATGAGTGAAAGTGAATCGTTTATGTACGTTTTTATACTTATAACATTTGACTTAGAGTAGTGTCCGTGTAATAAACTTGCTTTACACAAGAGATACGCCTGCACTAATTGAAACATGCAGGTTAGTTTATGTTCTCTATATACATGTTCCTAAGATTAATTCAAACTGTGCTTGCTTCAGATGAATATAGAACACCTTGGTTAAATGAAATCCGATTTCAGCCAGAGTTTTTTGAAAATATGCTTTTTATTTTGAAAAGCTCAACCAATGGTATTCTTTCATGGATGTATTGTCTACACTCCTGATAGCCACACTTTTAATAGGTACAGTACGTCTCATTGACGTCATTACACGTGAAGATGACAGTTTAGCTGAGGTTTGGTGTGGTGAGCATCTGCTTACTGCTATATTAATAGCCCAGCACCAAATGAAGTAATTTAACATTTCCCAATTAATTATTTTCGCACAGGTGGCTTTATGGCAGTGAAGTAGAAATCATTCATCGTCTACTTTATACATTTTCCTCTAATGTAAATGGTGTGTCAGCCCTAGGTTAGTTTCTTTATTTCGGTGAAAACTCATTAATAGTGTTCACTTTTAAAACTTGTATCTAACATGTTGGCATATATCTGTGTACATTGCAGAATGACGAGATTGTTGCATAGGCATGTAATATCTGTGGTGATGAGTAGCCCTCTTTCATCGGTAATTCATTCGAACAAATTTTTAAGTATTCTGTGCAAAACTTTAATACCGTCAGATCTCTGTTGACCACGATATAATTAGAGATAATTTGTGAACATTAAAGGCTCGTCGATTGGATTGTTAGTCAGCTGTTTTTTTGCTATCGATTCATTGCTCTAATATTTACATGTTAGCCACAATAAACAAATACGCAGAAATTTGTTTGAGTTGATGGCTTAGTCGCTGATTCTAGGGATCCAATGCTTAAAAGATATTTACGCCTCCTTAATATTATAGATCATAGCAATGCTTTATCTTTAGATGTGGTTTTTAGTTTAAACGGTATGATGAATTGTTATGATTAGCACTGTAGGTGTCTGAATTTAGTGACTAGTTCCCTAAACCTGAAGATGCAAGAGTACGATTATATTCTGGTGGATGAAGTGCAACCCTCAAATTAATCTTAACTTGCATACATGTATATATTCCAGTACTTCATATCCACAAACTACGTCCTGGATTGTGTTGAGGAATTAATTCTTTATAACGTCTGATCTAGGACTGTAACTGTAGTGGTATGTAGTTTAGATTGCCAAATAAATTAGGCCTAAATACTCAACTCGTATTTAGAGCTTAGTTAAAATTGACATTCGGTAGTTATAACATACTGTTAGAGAGCTCACATCACGTGTTCTTATGCTGTTTCTTTGTGATGTCGAAGAGTTAGAGGAAACGTGATAGGCAAAACAGAATCCTTCTTCACTCATAAGATTTGTCAAGTACTGTGAACCTGATCGATGTATACAGGAATATATTTATAAACATTCTGTTATAATAACTATGATTTGTTTTACCTAGTGTTATTATAATCAGCTAATTTCAAGTCATAAAATTCACTTCATTTGTATTGACACGTCTGTTTTCGTAATTTGTTCTTTACTCCCAATTTCCTCCTACTTCCAACTAAAAGTTTATTTCTGGTTATCTATACACGTGAAAATCGATTCTAACCATGGTTTGGGACTTGGTCTGTTGTGTGCATTTTAAAAGACGTCCGCACGGAAGAGTTGTGAATTTTTTTAGCTTACATTGAGATGGTTTTTAATACCAGCATTTAAGGTTTTTCTTTCATTCCTTTATGATCCTATCGTCAATAGTAAATTGAGAAAGTTTTAGGCGACACAGGAACCTGACGTAAGATGGATTCATCTCACTGTCCTCATATCTAATCCAAATTACTTGGTCCTAACCAAAACGTACCGGTGTTAGTAAGATGAAATCTTGAGATCTATTTCAGTAAACACATGAATGGAGATATAGTCACTAAATATAATTTAAAGTGACTATTTAATACTACTTTAGAAACATTTAGGTGAATGTATGTCATTTTAATTCAAGTACACACGTGTCTTTACTCAAAAGTACACAAAACATGACTGAATACTTTTATACAAAGACTTAAAAAATGAATATGTCAAATGTATTTTAGGAGAGACTAACTAGGTGCATATTCCGAACACAGCAACGTTGTATTTGGAGTTGCATTTAGTCTTATGTGAGAGTATTTTCTGAAATATCTGTCAACCTCTAATTAAAGATAGCTTTAGTAAACATATTTCAACAGATGTATTCAAAATAGTTAGTTTGAATATTTCATTTTGCTTAAATCCAAGTTATAGAAATTGATTCTCAGGTTGGCTCACGCTTGTTGTGGAATTACTTTAGGAAGTATAAAGGCTTTTTTGTTTCAATAAGTATATCAATTTGTTGTTTGCCATGTTTTGCTGAAATACAAACCTATTGACTTTTTACGTCAGTTGTTTAACTTGATCTAATATTGGGCTGAACAAATGCAGGAAAAACTCGCTGAGTGCTACTTTAAGTCACATGGTTTTGTCAGTCGTCACAAATATTAAAGGCTTTTTAACTAGTTGAAGTGGCGTGAAATTTACAAGTGATGCTAACCAAAACATTCTTTATTGTTTTTTAAACTAAATATTTGTGAGTGCTTATGTATTGCTTTGATTATTTAACGTAGTTTCAAATTGTTAGGATCACATTATCTTATGTTTGAGATCCCATAACCAAAATAAGAAATATTTCATTTTAATTGTTTCTATTTGTACGTTACTCCAGTGCGAACTCCTATGACATGTCCATCCCTAATATTTATTTCATTTTTATATTTATTTAATCACATAAACATTGGTACAAGGAGGCTCCAAATAGATATGCGCCACATAAATCATTCGATTTGTGTGACGGCTGTGATACTGCTCGGGTGCCCAGACCGAAGCAGGTGGTTTTCTTAGGGGGCCTCACTCGGAGCCTTCGACCTAAAGGTCTGATCCACAAGGGAGTGGAGCATCGTAAGGAGATGCAGTCCCATGGTAACCGGTGACCAACAATTGGTTCACACGCCATTTTTACCTCAGGATCCTCGAGCCCATGTGCACCATTGTTTTGAAATCCGGTTAAAGCGCCGGACATTCGCTTTTCGTCCTCTCATTTTCGTAAACAACACCTCCGCCACGAAAAGGCAGTGAGTAGGACTTCCCTGGCAGTGGCTGTATACGCGTGGCCGTGTGACAGCATTTCGAGAGGGAGGGTGGGCTCACCCCACTCTCGGCCATACCAGGGCACTTGGGGGCCCATCCCTAATATCCAAATAAAAATGGATTCTCCGCATTTCTATGACTTTCAAAACATATCTTTCAATCACAAACAATCTAGGTTACCAATGTTGAATTTTTATTTATTTGCCTTTTTTTCTTTATTAGTTGTCTTGTCCAAATTGTTTTTGGTCTGTCAATTTTCTTTTTAGTCAATTCATTTTCCGAAGTGTTACCTACTTTTGGTGTTTACTTGCGTAAAGTTTGTGAAGATGCACCTCACCTCATCCACTTTGTCACGTACTACAATAGTTTACGAGCAATCATCCCGATAATAGATGTCGTTATAGCTAGCTTACCGTGCATGGATGCTATGTGTTGTTACTTATCAGGTAAATAAACTGCTATATCAAGTGTACTTTTTCCTACCTTTTATACACAGCGTAATTTTTTGTAGTTTTAAAACTGCTCCACCGTATGCTTACAGAGAAATATTATTGTCTAGGCTGAAATTTTGATGTGATGCCAAAGCTCGGGAAAGTAAAGCTAAATTTGGGAAAAAATAATTTCTTTCTTCCAATATTCACTCACTGTTCATACTTTCTAGATCCACATATCCTTCCTTCTTTAATACACATTGCTTGTGGTTGTCAAAAACAAAAGTCTGAACTACCTTTGGTTCGTGGAATTTTGGCCGATTTAAATGTATTATATAAAGATATCATCAAATCAATCAGTTCATGTTTAGAAGTAAGATAAAGAATTTTTTTATTTTCAAACTTAAATTATTAATTCCATCTTAATTTTAAGTAGAAAATTAAATTCATAATATGAGTCATTGGGAAGAAAACAGTTCTGCTAAATTGTAACTTCTTAGTGAAGATAATGCTAGTTTGAACCGTCTTTCCTCTGGTTGTAAACGAAGTTAGTGTTTTTCTGTATACATGAACTTTAGAACTAGATTTATTTAATTATTATTTATTTGAACACATAAATATTGGTACAAAGGGGCACCAAACACATATGCGCCACACAAGTCACTTGATTTGTGTGTGGGCTGTGGTACTGCCCGGGTGCGCAGACCGAAGCAGGTGATTTTCTTAGGGGGCCTCACTCGGAACCTTCGACCTAAAGGTCTGATCCACAAGACAATGGAGCAACATCAGAAGATGCAGTTGCGTGGTAGCCGGTGACCAACAATTGGTTCACACGCCATTTTTACCTCAGGATCCTCGAGCCCATGTGCACCATTGGTTTGGAATCAGGATTTCCCAACTCCATTAGATGGATTCTCCATATCCACCAACCCAGTTAAAGCGCTGGACATTCACTTTTCGTCCTCTCAATTTCGTAAAGAACACTCTTGCCACGAGAAGGCAGTGAGTAGGACTTCCCTGGCAGTGGCTGTATACGTGTGGCCATGTGAGAGCATTTCGAAACGGAGAGCTGACTCCACACCCTCGGCTGTACTTTTTGGGGGTTATTGATATTACTACTTGGGTTTGTATTTGTGTGAACCTTAGTGATGTGTCAGTTTCTATTTGGATCGAAGCAGTGATCATACATTCTTGTCATGACTTTTCAATCGAATTGTATTGACTGAATCAAAGAAATACTGCTGACTATTAGATTGTATTGGTCCCCAACTACGGGGAGGGAGTCCGTTTTCTCTTTCAAAATGCTCTCATATAGCCGCGTGTATATAGGCAATCCTAGGCAATTCTTCCCAGCTGTATCTGCTACCTTGATGTAGTGGTTAGGCTTGCCTATCGTGATGACAACCGAGATATATTGGTTGGAACACATGTTCCTTAAGGTACTACATTGCAAGACGGATTGGTTGGAGAATAGTAAGTGTAAAATCAGCAACTTGCGATCCGAGGGCGAAGTCATACTCCTTACTGTAGATAGTTGTGGCAGCAGTAAGGTGTTTCCTTCGGACAACCAGCACCTTCAGTGATGTTACCTTTTCACAGTGAAAGGAAGGGGTTCGAAGAGGTCGACCATAAAAATGTCACATCTAATCTTACTCAATGGATTTCCGCATCCTGCAGTAAGACCTTTTGAAGTGCGGGACTAGTACGAAAAACCACGCGTAAAGAAGCCGTGCGCGACCGGCATCATGCAGTTGTCTTTTGGGCTCTTCAGTCACACTCACAAGTCGCTAAGACCACCACTAATTGAGCTCTTTTAGGTCCCTCAAGAAGAAATATTCTCCTAAGGTTTGTGCAACTGGGAAGTGAAAACCGCCCTCATACCTCTATTAACACTCGAAGTCATCTTGCTGACTGACTGAGGAAAATCCTACTCACTATCTTCTCGTGACGAGGGTATTTACGAAAATGAGAGGAGGAAAAGTGAGTGTCTGACCCCTAAAGCGTGTTAGTGGGTACGGAGAACACAGGTAGGGGAGTTTGAAAACGCCAATTTCAAACCAATGTTGCACGTGGTTCCTATGATCCTGAAGGGTCGAATTTGCATATAAAACTATTCTTTACCCTCAGCTACCATATAACTTCATTTTTTAACGTTGTTTAACTGCTAATTCAATGATTTATTGTGTGAAGCATATATATTTTAGTGCTCCTTCGTACCAACATATATGTGCTTAAATAAGTAAATATTGACAGCGGTGCTTTTTTGACCAATAACTATAATCTTAAATGATGCTGCTTCCCCAAAAACGTAAGACTGATGGTGGATGGGACATTATTTCACGTCACAGACTTATGAAGTACCGGAGGTTGGGTTCAAAATGTGTTGGAAAATAACTACCCACAAAATGGTCCTGTTTAATCGACCTAGAACAGTTATCCTTTGGACTGTGTGGTCGTTTTTAGGTTGTCTAAACATGAAAATACCAGTCCGGTTTCTTTCCTAGTTTTCAGCGTTTGTAGCTGAAAAATATCAGTCACCTGCATGCTCTTGCATTCTGGTTTGATGTTAGATTGTAACTCTTCCGTATTTTTAAAATCTCTTCGCACAGTTATTTGTATTTTCAGTTACCCGCTCCAATAATTAATCAGTTAGCTTAAGCCGCTACAGATATTGAATTCTACATTGTTCCGTTTAAATTGAGTTCATGAGAATAGCTAAATCTAATTACTCAATACACAAACAGTACATATATTACACTGTCTGTACTTTTTATGCAGCTTACATTGTAAGTTAATCTTTGTCTCGTGCATAAATCTCACTATGTATCAATAAGTTTGTATATTACTGACTACATTTATGAATTTATTTTTTTTATCAATAGACAATGGATGATTCAAACATAGCACCGTTAACTACAGGTGAATTACAATGGTTAGCAAACTTAGAAAGTGATGATCAATTTGGATTTCGTGAAGCGTTTGTAAATTGTTGTTTAAATGATGGAGATTCTGAAACTAAAGCTTGTCTTATTTCTGTATGTAATCGGCTAAAGCTACCGAAAATTTTGGAATCAGTAACGACAGATGGTTAAATGTCAGAATGAAATGTTTTAAAACACACATTCAGAGCTAAAAACGACGAGTGAGAAATGAGGAAAAATTTAACACCAACAGATTTTATGAGATCAAAACATCAGCCAAACTTAATTTGCCTTTGTAGATTTTCTATTATTTGATTAAAAAAACTCGTAACACTAATTGTTGCCTTGTTAGTATTTAACGTCAAGTCAGAAAACATCACTCAGCTACAATGCAGGACCAGGCACATATATGCATCGGTCCAAGTTGCCACACATTACTCATTAACACAACGAGATGAACACCGAATTCATAGAAGTAGTTAATTCAATGGTGGTAATATATAAAAGAAAGATTACATATATGGACATAGTACAGGAAGAAAGAATTAGTTCGTAGAAAAGAAAATATGAAGAAATATTAATCTCATAGTTTAATAGAAGACAGAGTGTATACGCCTACACAATTGTGATTGATTCTGAGCCATGTCACACACAGTCTCCAACCATTGGTTACGATAGTCGCGCTGACCCCAACCAAGTAGTCGGCATCTACCAACATGGCTCACACCACAAGTTTGTGAATTCAAGCAGTGATGCCACGTTTTGGTTTGGCCGCCCCTAAATTATTTCTAACTATCTCCAACACTAGTCAGCATTGCGCGTCGTGGTAATCGGTGTTCATGCATACGTAACACGTGGACCAACCATCTCAGTCGATGAAGATTCACAACCTCATCAATTGACTTACCATCATTCCCTAGTGCACTGTGTCTAACCTCACCATTACTTACCCTGTGATCCCAGCAGATGTGAGACATATTTCTGAGACATCTGTGGTCAAATACTAGTAGCTTACGAGTATCTTCTGCTCTTGAAGGCCATGTTTCGCAGGTGTAAAATAGAAGAAAACAAACTGACACACAGTATACTCGTCCCGTAGTTGATAGAGGGATATTTCGCCTTCGCCATAGGTGATGTAAGTTGGAAAAACCAAACGAACTTTCTGAATCCGTGCTGAGATTTCATTCAGAAAAAATAGATGTATACTTTGTACTTGCAACTATGTATATATGCGGTCAAGTATTTCAGCCATATCCATAATGGTCTTTTGTGGAGGATGGGGAAACTTTGTTAGTTAGAGATAATTAAGTGAACATATCTTACGGATATCATATTCTTTGAACTTCCGGTAAAAGTCAACTTGAAGTAGGTGATAATAATGCCGCTCAAAATGAGAGTGATAACTTTGCTTCTAAAAAAATTCCATCATTTTGAAGTTTTATGAGATAATCATGTAGAGAAACATCTACGTGAGTAAATACTGTTATCTATAATTAATCAATAGGAAGGGATTGTTAATCATATTAGATATTTTGATCTGAGGTAATTGGGACTTGCGAAGCCCATTGTGTTGATATACATATTCGCTCATTATTGTATAGATTTAGACCGATTGTTTTGTATCACATATTCTTCATCTTTTCCTACTTGTTTATTGTTTTCATTTGTTTTTTCCCTCTTGTAGCGTTATGGAATGTGACCATTAAAACTGTTATTTAGTGATAGGTCCCACGTCGCTCCTGTCTGTTTTCGTTTCTGAACTTAATCAACCTTTGGGTGAATGCAAGAGGCACTTGCGTAGACTGTCCTATTAAGCGTTTTTAGATCCTCGATGATTACAGTCAATCGTTACAACACCATTCTAGATATCACGGAAACTGAACTTTTTAGGGGAAATGGAATTGAGTCACTGTCCACGTATGCACATGTTTGTAGAGTGAAATAAAATTTTGATAGGTAAAAGACCATGTGTAACGATTTTTCTTCAAGCTTTTTTCAAGATGTTCGACGAGTTGTTGAGCTGTATGAATGATACGGTGATAGTTACAATCAATCTAAATAGCTCCAATCGACTACGTTTACTTCATAACACCCATTCTTCCACTGGTCTATATGTATGTGTGAAGACAACATTTGGTTTACTAGTTTAAAGATATGTCATTACTTGGTATGTATTTTCAATTAACAAATAAATACACTGACAAGTCAACTATGGGAAATTTGACTGAGAAAATCTGATACTCAATATCTCAGTTGATTTTTATAGTCCGTCTTCAAACTGTTTTTGACACTGATTCCGCAATGGTTGTGCCTGATCATTTGGTATGGACATATTCCCAATTAAACCCATAGCTAATTTGGTGTAACTGGCCAGAAGGTTTCTGAACAGAAAATCGATATTGGAAGCCTCTTCTTTGTTCAAGCCATAGAAAAAGATAAACGTCATTGATGGGTGCAGATTAATTTCATCGCTCAAGCACGAAATAAGTCTTTTTCACTATCATCCACTAGTTTGCTAATGAAAGACCACACTAAGTTGATACCAGACTAAATATTAAACTGATCTCATACAAATGAGAGATCACATTCAATTAAGACAAAACGAAGTGTCATACTGAATGGAGTGCCACATGGAATTATCAAATGGCCTCATACATGATGTTTTCCCGATATTTCCTTGGTTGAATACATGAAAATGGCCCGTCTGCTGCTGATAAACTTGGTCAGTTGTTGTCCTTCGTCATTACGACCGGTTGATTTCTATTAGTCCAGCTTTGAAACAAATTAGTTAGTTGGATTGTTCAAAGCATGTGACACAAAGAACAGGAATTCTCGATAGCGTCACTTTTTTCTCACCGACGAACAACCTGAAATCCTGATATGGAACACTGACTTCAGGAGTTTAGAACTACACTGATACCAGGCTTCGAGTATTTCGTACTCGTGATAGGTCATAAGCATCTAACCGATTAATGATGAAGTGGATCATAATGGAGGTTGAAATAAAACAGTACATTTATTTGGCAATCATTGTTAACTAGATGCATAGAGTTCGTGTATAGGCAGCTTAGAATGTATGGTAGAATACTGAATGAAATACTTCGAATCCTAGTGCAGATCGCTATTTTATAATAATAAATGTTTAGGTTTGAAAGTATTACTTATTCTGTTAGCACGTATGTGACGTAAGTTTTTCTTAGGACAAAATAGTAGTGTATCTAGCTAAATCTTTCTTCAGATAGAAGACTGTCGATATAAATGTAACTGATATTCATGGAATCGTTTACTGGTAACTTTTATTGTCATTTAAATCAGATTTATCTACAAATGATGTAGAGTTAAGTAATGTATACTTGTAATTCGCATTCATTCAGCTTTGATTAGCAATAGTATATTAGTATATTAAATGTCTTACATTACTACTTGACAGGTTGAAATGTTTTGGATTAGATAATATTGACTGTAGTATGTTATCTGTTGGTAAGGAAAAAATGTCTCCTTTCCAACTGATACTGCTGCTTACCAATTACTATATATACAATCAATTTTCCCTTATTAACCTGCAACATAGTTCTTCTGTTTTGAGAAAGCTTCATATGATTGTGTACGATTCGACTGAAATGAGAGTGAGGAACTTCTAGAGACAGACTTATTTAAGACCTTAATAAAATTCCTATAATATTTCAAAAAAATTATTTCTGTGTGTATTTATTTTATAGAGATCAGTAGTTAAATTCTTAGTGAACCATAGACTAGTCAACTCAAATTAGGTTAAAATCAATAATTTGTCACTAGAAATCAATAAATCAATGGGGTGAAAATAAAAATTTCATGGTTACCGATGCTAATTCAATCTTAGCATTTGTTATATGAAATCTTGGTTCTGGAAACAACTATTATTTAATACTCATTGATTTTCTTTGGTAATGTACCAGCTAGTGCGAATTTAATATTAAAATCATTCAAGGTTTTTGTGAAACAACCCAAATTAAAGGTACATTAACTTACAGGAATGAAATGTTAAAATACTATAAATAAATATTCTTTACTTTTAATGTGTTGTTACAACTAGTTTTGTGGTATACTGATTATTATGAACTGGTTATACATAAGTTGAAGCAGAACATCAACAGAACTGCATGAAGGTTTTGTACTGCGCTCATCAGATTGAGCCTTATTAAAAATAATAATCACACTTGTACGTTATATAATTAGTCCATACAATTGTGGTTATGCAAATTAGGAGTAGGTTGTCATTAGTTAATTAACTGACTCAAAGTTCAATCTTGTTGAAAGATAATTTCTGAGTAAAACATTTTAACAAGACATTGTTTAATCCTATCAATCACGAGTCAGGAGTGTGGATCATTTTGAACAGTGTCAAGCATACTTCAACAGAAGTAAACGTTCTTTTCAGTTAATTAAGACCCTAAAATTCATAGATGTATCTTTATTTCAATTGGACATAAATTTTACAGTATCGATTAGGCTTGTATTTATCACTTTTACGGAAAATTTTAAAATGTTTACAGAGCCAATTATCTTGATCTTGAATTAGTGTCAGAGTCTTTTGTTTTATTTAATTCATTTTAAATTATGACGATAGATTAACATGAATGAAGTGACAATGTTTTTGTTACTTTAGAAACATAATCAATTTTGCAAATGAATTTCAAATTATGTAATATTTTTTTATTTGGCTTATTAAAGAAACACACCTAAAATTAATTGAATATAACGCTTACATACGAAATAATCTACTTTATAAAAAAAAGAAAGTACAAGCCATATGAATGAAATACATTTTAATTTATCAGTTACTATACCAACTGATCATTTAGTTTCAACAAATAACTTTCTAAAATGGTTTCATTATTTTTGTTGTTAGATTACTCCATTTAAACATAATTCCACAAATATTGTATGATTATGACCCATTGATTGTTTGCTAGTATTTTATGGAACATGTTTGTTTTTACTGAGATCAAAAAGATGATAGATTATCAAGATCCTCTTATATATATATGACTTTTTCTTATGTAGTTAAACTGACCAATAATATATGATTCAATTACTCGATTTTAATTGGTTAATTTTACTCAATTTTTGGCATTTCTATAAACGGATGCATCTAGTTACTAAGTACATATTTATCATTTGTTCTATATTTAATTAATCAAACAATTATTATTTTGATCGGTGAAAAGAATAAACAATATGACTGGATCTACAAAACCGGATCTTGATCGTTTAGGTTATTTTAGAGAAATGTCTTATGTTACAATTGGTGATCCATATACTGATCTAGGAAAATTTGTTTTCAATGAAGATTCTTATAAAGGTC